ACGGTGGCGCAGAGGTGACATGTGTGTGAGTTTTTATTTATCTCTTGGACACACTGTTTTAAAGTTTTTAGTTTTTATTGATACTTTAAGGCCAAACTTTCTACAGTATACATATTTTCCATTCCGTGAAACTCCGTATAAGTATTTATTGGTAATCGGTGGGGTGTTCGGGTTGGGATTGCATAAAAAACATAAAGCGACAAATGTGTCGTGGTAAGCAAAGTATAGTATGTATATTATTTCACTATGCAGACTAACGATGAAACACGGTCTTCAATACATGCATTAAACCAAACTAATTAAGTCTATGAAAAGATATTTATCAGTGCAATGTTATAAAAAAATGAAAAAAGTTAAACGACATTTGAAACCTTTCAGCTGTCTGAGACCGGCGTACGGCATCGGTAAAGCGCTTACGTCAGACCATCCAGCACATCCATGCAGTTTGACTAGAATTTTAATTTTATCGTCTGCTTAATTCGGGTATTCTGATATTGAAACAGTTATAACTAATCACAAGATAGTTATTTTTTATTTAACATCATTACGGAACTAGAGGGGTACTGGAAGAATGTAAGATACATGTTGAGGGCTTGTTGCAAGATGCTTATAACGCTTTCATGACGTCATAACAGTTTCGAAGAAAGCGCTTGGTGTAGTGAATTAGTTAAAGGGTTTTATTAATTAGTCGTATTTAATTATTTAGGAGTTCTAGATCATGCGGTTATAGACTGGACTTTGTCATCTTTATTCGAATTGAATTCCTCTTATCATACGGTAATACATTTGAGCCGTGTCATGACAAAACCAACATAGTGCGTTTGCGACCAGCATGGATCCAGACCAGATCAGGATCCATACTGTTCGCTATCAGTTTCTCTACTTGCTATAGGGTTTGTAAGCGGACAGCATGGATCCTGATCAGACTGCGCGGATGCGCAGGCTGGTCTGGATCCATGCTGGTCGCAAACCCATTATGTTTGTTTTGTCGTGACGCGGCTCATTTGTTTAACATGGTGTTTCTAAATATAGAACCGAGACAACGTGAAAGATGTATTATCCAGATACCACGACTTAATGACACATAAGGTACACCCCCTGTTATTTGTTATATTAATTAACCACATTGTCCAAAGACAATAGCGTGATAGCTGCATGTATAATTTATTGATCACCATATATTGTTTTTGATCTCACCGCCGTAAGTATTAATTAATTGCCAATTTATAGGTATCATCGCGCACCGTAATGCATTATGCATGTCAAATACCTATATATATTTACAACGCGCATGAACGCAAATGACGAGCTTGTTGTTTTTTTTTATTCTTAATTAATGAAGGTGAATTACCTCCCTTTGTAAGATTTCTGATAAAAAAAATACCATCAATCATGTAAGATAAGCTATTTTTTTCAGACAGAAATGGATCAGCACACCTTCTACGTAGTTGTTTTTAACCTTCAAAATTTTCTCAGCGTGTTCTTTAAAAGAAGACTACCACATCCACGGTTTACTAAACTCAACATACACATGCCATTAAAATAGATCGCAGACCAAAATGTTTTATTAGCAGTAATTTGCCCGACATTTTTATAGCAAAAATTATGGTGCGTGTATATTGACTACTGCTATGTACATTACACATATATGAAACAATCCTACATCAATGATAAGCGAAACGTATTCTTTTGTGCAGCTTAATGCTTCCAAAGAAATGGAACCCAAAGGGTTACTTTGTAGTCGAAACTTTGTCCTTTTTCCAAGAAAATTTACGAAAATATCGTCACCTTAGTGCAGTAACAGGTTAAGTCCTTCTAAATTTAATATGAGTTAATCAGTTATTGCACTAAGGTGACGAACATTATGTTAAATTCGATCATTTTGCTTTTGAAAATGTTCTTATTTTGATTATTTGATTTATGACCATATATTTATATAATTTTAGAAAATAACATGTCTAAATTAAGTTGTTAACCGCAAAATATATTTATTTCTTAAAGTTGAAAAAAGAACATTTTTCTTCGAACAAAACTGCATCGATGCGCACACTTACGCAAGTATCAATGAAGTAAATGATTAATTAAATCTGTGTTTAGTGATTCGATACATACATTAAAACTTTCCTTTACAAAACGCACCTTTTAGAATGACAGTAATTTGCCTCTTTTCAAATTTCAATTCAATCAGGTGTATCTCTAATTTGTTGTAAACGTAAATTAACTGCCTTTCAACTATATCTGTTTAAACGTGAAAATGACTTAAAAGTGTAACTGATCCACTAAATTGCTTTCAAAACGTGTCAGCAGTGTTTGTAAGCAGTGAATATAATAGTGAAATAAAACATCGTAGTCTGATCTGATTGTTATAAATGATGTCAACAGATTAACGCTGCGGTTAAATGTCACAATTAGCTAATAAAACGAGCACCGGTAGTCGGCTCCTTACGGTTGTTTAAACACATTGTTTAAAGCCTTTCGTTGTTAAATTTTTCATACTGTTAAGATCAGCTTATGACAAACGTAGAGTCTGGACAGGAATTAATTAAAAACATATCTTTTTCACTCGTTCGTATAGGAAAATAGCACAAGTAACAACGAACCTCTTTGTATAAACTCAAAAGCGTTTGACCGGTCAATTTCGTTTTTCACAAGCTTGTCATTTGTTATTTTCTCTATACAACTATTAACACAGTGTTCATATCACAAAGTAAAAAAGAAAATCATCTAATATATGAGATAGTTGCTTTAATATAACACTATGATATGACTGGCGACCAAGTTTCGTTGACACGACGTTAAAACAATGTCATCCCCATCCTGGGGGATATATAGTATGTAAAACATAATTAACCTGGGATATATTATGTAATAATTGTGCTTCTCCCCACGTTTGAAAGGTAAAGTAAAATACATCGTACACTGAAATTAAAAAGTATGGGGATATCTAACCCTATAAAATGGTAGTTTAGATTTAATACAAGATAATTGCCTTGACAGTTTAATAAAATGCATCTTTTACATTCTCATTCCATTCACATTGAGTTTGACTTACTTACATCATAATATTACGGACTGTTTAAATAAGTAAAATAGAGAAAAACAGAATCCCCTAAAGAAAGCCCAAAACGACAAAATTGAAAATGTTGAAGGCTCGGTTTGATTGAGCCTGTTCGTGGACGGTACTGGCAAATTTAAGTTACCGTCAACACCCCAAGCACCTAGTTTTATTTAACGTAAATTTATTAAAGTTCGGCTGAGAAAAAAAAGTGTTTTTACTACTGAAAGAAGAATTAAGAGTTTAATTGCTTCGATGATTATCCAATTCCGGTGTCACTCAAAGAACTATGGTTCTTAACTCGAATGAAGATGAAATCCACGACCCCAAAGTTCAAAGGCAGCTTCCTTTTATAACAACGCCTTTTCATTAGAATTTTAATAAGACAGTATTTCAAGCATAATGTTTTCATTATAACAAAATTACTATTTGCTAAAAACAAAACATTTCCAGATGTTTAACTTAATGTATATTTTTTTATTTATTATTAATGATGCTATAAAATTTAAAGACTAGATTCTAGATTTTTTTTCTCACTGGTTTTCAACAGCAACAATTCTTTTAAATTACTCTAAATCTAACATTGACAATAAAGTTTAAACTTTTAACTTTTTTCCCACTTACCACAACTATTGTGTAACCACTTCACACAGCTGGTTTTAGTCAGGTTAAAATGCAATAATCACTTGTATCCATTTATATAATTCCTTCCCTTGATTACCCAAATATAATATCCCACCGTACAACTCACCGGCAACAGTTTCCTTCAACCTTTTAAAAATAAATTTACCAGGAGTGGCGAAAATCAAAATTTATTTGTATCCCAATGCACTTATTGAATTAAATTTGAATCAAATCGAGTTCAAACATTAAATGTTTAAAAATGAAATTTTAAAATTCACGACACGTTTTACACTCTTCTATGCAACAAGGTTTTATTTAATAGTAGGCTATATTTTCGCGTCCGGGGTAAAACATTTTTTATCTCTCTGGATATTATAGTTTTATAAATAACCGTACAAAGTGTCGCGCGCCGAGCGTACAAGATAGGTTTCGAAAAATTAATCCGTGTATTTGATTGTAGAATAGAGTATTTGTATTAAACATTAAACAGATTTTAAATTTGGTGTATTAACATGTACGAATTTAAGTTATGATATTCTGATAGGATTTAAGGTCTGTATTGAATGAACTTATGACATAAATATAGAGTATAAAAAAAATCAATGTCCATTTAATAATACGGTGTATTTAGAAAAAGCCAAATTAAGACCGGAGAGATATAATAAAGTGAGTGTACTAGCGGGAAATGGAATGAATGATTAACATGATTTTAAGGTATGTTTATCATTATTATTGTTTATCATAATAATTGTTTATCATTAGTGGTGTTCATAACATTTTTGCAGACATCATTAAGATGTCATTATTTACATTTATATGCTACATATTCAAGCCAGTTTTAAAGAATAACTTAAGGCTTCAGCGTGTAGCAAAGTGTTTCATTTTATACTTATTTTATAGCTTCAAATTGTTTTCTAATTATTTTATATTTATAAGTAACGGTAGTACGATAGCGTCCCTGTATAATTATGCGTTAATGATAACGCGATGTGCTGTCACATATCTCAAAACGAGGTCATGTTTTAAACATATCTCATTAATAAAATCTTTGACTATATTAGCGGTACGCTGTATCTTGTATATAATATCTACATGTATATAGATAATATAGATACTATATAGAAGTGCACGTGTGAAAACTGTCTGTGTATATATGACATTAGTGCCCACGTTTTTTCTGAATATTTATATACTTTTGTTAAGCTAATCATATAATGTTGCTGTATAAAAACAATTAATTAGATAAAACATTAACATAACATTTGACATTAATATATATTTGGTTAAAATTTTCTAAGAATAAAAGTAACTTACGTACCTATAGATGCTCAGTTCATATTATATATCCAACATGGGTATATCACATGAAATAACTCACGTAAAGCACTCTTTTATATTTGCACAATATTCACAGATTAAGCAAAGTTCACCTTTTTTTATTTGAATCTACGTAATCCTTTTACACAAGTGACACCCATACACACAGATATCCAAAAACCAAGTTTTTATCAAACCTTTCTTTATCTCGAGTATTTTAGGCCGTAACTAATAAACCCCACTATTTTACATATCTTTTCCTTAATATGTACACCCTTACATCTTATTTAGCAATCCCAGTCGGTTTTATTTCCATTAAATGACCGAAAGAATCAGCACCTGTTTTTAATATAACTCCTTGCGAAAATTTAGAAGGTGTCCACCGTCTTCTATATACACTTAATTTTTCACGTATAAACAGTAAAACGAAAAGCAAATTTGAATTCAAAAGGGGCGGAGATAAGTTACGCATGTGTAATATATCACCCCATATTTATCTCCGGTGAATCCACTACTCTTAAACTGTCTATGATATCTTATTTTAAACGTAAAACAACTTTCTGAGCCAGTGAGTTGCCATTGAAATTGGTTGAAGCGAGAAAGAACACGAAGGAAATATGGATAGATTCGCCACGCGGAACGTACACTAGCTTTAAACAAACTGACAAAAATGGATATTTGGAGAAAACGTGCGATAGTGCGCTTATATTAAATTAACCCCTAATGTCTTAACGTAAATATACATGTACGGCGTCAGGGGAAGTGATAAATTGTGTGTAAGGTTTAAAAAGAACGGCGAAAGGATATGATACGTTCCTTGTATTGTACACGTTTAAATACAACAGGTGTGGGACTTTCATGTATGTAAGTAAACTTAAAGCTTATCTTTAATATAAACATTATGTTTAACATGTGTTTGAAATTTTATAGACGTTATGGAAAACGATAGGGTCGGTGTATATGTATATATATTAGACGTCGTGGGGCGATGTTTATTTAGACTATATGAAGTAAAATTATTGTTCAAGGTCTGTTCAGCGTTACCTTACAGATAAAACACTCGCCTTTAATATAGTATGCGATAAAGCAACTTTTAAAGCAAACCTAAAATAGATCTAAAGGTTTCTTTAACCGCTGATTAATTAAGAACGCTAAAGCGTGCTTTAAGAGCGAGTTTGACGGCATGGCTTGATTAATTGGAAAAGTAGTAGTAAATAGTGTGTATAATATATGCATACTAGATAAGAAAGTCCCGGTAGTTAACTACTGTATAATAAACTGGTCATAAGATAATTATTACCTAATCAGACAAGACAAACATTGCATTGCATTTCGGTATTTGTGCTAAAAATAGACACATAATCACCATAAAATCGGATATGTAGTATATCGGATATTAAGTATATCGGATATGGAGTATATCGGATATTGAGTATATCGGATACATTTCAATTATGCGCAATGCTTTTTTCGTGTTAAGAACAGACCCATATAGAGAATACAATAGACATTGGCAGCGTCTGATTGGTTAGAACTAAACGCATGCTCATGTTATGAAAAACCGATACATTGAGCCCAATAAAAAGGCAAATACACTTGCTAATTTTTTTTTATAGAAAATATGGGTACTGTCTGTAATGACTTTAGAAAATGGACATGCATGTTTTAATATACACTGATGAAGTTCACTTTGTATTATTAATTTACCATTGCAGTCCATCCACCTGGCAATACCTCAGCTTGTCATATGAAGAGATGAATATGACATTATATATAAATTTCCTTTTAATTAATAAGAGTTTTCAGAGTAAAGACCCTTTAGTATCTTGTTAATGTTACTTCGTCCGAGCACTTAAATTTACGTTTGATTACTTTATGTTTTCAAGCATTCAAAAGCGTCTTGCAATAACGTCATTTCTGGCCTAATTCATGCAAAAATATGGCTTCCTGTAACATGAAATTTCTTTTATAATACGTCACTTTTTAACGTCACTTTTCATTGGATAATCGTAACTTTTTTATTAACCATACACGTTTAAAGTAATTTTTATGTTTTTCCTGAATAATTATGCTGTATTTAGATTCATTAAAAACAATTATGGCACGTTATATGACCGTGTACGAGTTATATAAGCTCACAACTATGTTCCTGGGTCATATAATCAGGTACCTTCTTACATATTTATAATATTGGAGTTTGTATCCTGATTGCACTCTTTATGCCATTGAAATTTATTTAATAAGATTTTAAGCTAAATTACAATAATTTTCTGTCACACCTTAATCCATATAAGGCAAAAAAAACACCAACAACTGGTTTAATATTATCTTCGTGTCTTTACTACCCACAGCCCGACGGATACTACTAAATAAGGCATCAATTAAATCCGGGACAACAGCACACAACAACTCGTGATTTATAGATCCAATCAGTTCTGATATCCAATAGATTTACTATTGTACTCTGTACGATACCTAAATCACTCTACGATACCAAAACAGTTCCCCTGTGGAATAAAGTGCTCAGTCTACATAAAGAATTACTTTTCTAATTTCTGACAGACATAAATAGTCTGGATACCAATACTAGACGTCATGTCACTATCCATTGTGTTCTAATGTTGCTATAAATAAATCTGATAAAAAGCCAACGATTACCATAACAATATATATTTGTCAAAAGAATAAAAACATCCATAGCAACATATAATATATGTTCTTCATTCTCCGCAATCCCAGACTATAGTTTGGTTTTATACTTTTGAGATTTGATAATCGTTAACTTTACAGCGTTTAACATCTCGTGTTTACGATTTTGACGATCCTGTCGTAGACTGGTGGATGTTCCTCTACAGCCTTTATGGAACCATATGTACCATTAGATAAGAACAGAATATGTTAATGTGCAACAGAATCTAGATAAATTCAGCTATAACGATCTGTAAAAGTTAACATCCATACTTAATGTTCCTATTTGTAATAACCTGTGCAAAAGTCCAAAATTCAAAAGAGAAATGATTTTTTTTCCTGTTATATATTATTAAAGAGATTTGTTTAAAAGTCCATTTGCATAGTTACGTTTTTAATATAAACATGGCTTTGCAATATGAAAATCAGTATGCACCGTTTACGAGTGACCTTTGCTGACACTGACTTTTAGCTTAATGCATTCTATTTCGACATTTGCGAACAATTTTCTCAGTTTCGTCTCGTTGACAAGTTTAACTGTCAACAATAGCACTCCAAACATTAACTAGATTACTTAAAAGCCTGCACACATTGTTTCTTTGTCGACATCCAAATATATCAATAAACATGAAATCAATATTCCGATTATCTTGCAAGATCTGCAACACATCGACTTGGTGCAGTATCTATCTAATTTGAGTAATTCCTTTCATTTGCAAGAAAGAGATTTTTCCACTCCGGTTTTGTGAAGAATGTTCTGTATAATAAATATATCCAACAATGAAATTGTAAGGCTGATATAAAAGCCCTGTCAGACGAAATCCAAATTTCAAAACCTTAACTTTTCTCTCTCTGTTTTGGCGGAGAACGTAATAATATTACATAATGTTTTTTCTAATATATAATGTCGAAAGCTGTTGTTTTATTGTGCCACAAGCAGAGACGGTTGTTTTAACTTCCGTTATCTTAACGATAAACAGCGGAAGTGATAAAAAAAGGATATTAGATAGATGCAGGAGATATTGTGAATTACGCTCATGAACAATAAGGTAAATCTTTAAAGCTAAGTTTTATTTTAATTGAACACGACTAGTATGATATTATCATAAAATAGCTCATAAAGAGCTCACCGGAAATATCTTGAGTTGTGAAATAAAAAATCTAATCTAAATCTAATTTAGGATTCTGTTTTATAAAATTAAACATCTCTTACAGTTGTTTTCAATACAAATATGGCTATGCAAGTAAAGATACAACGTTAACGACGAGATTATATCTTTACGTTCTGTGACAATGAATTTAATTCCTGTCAATAATATGCACCATATTATTTCCTTGGAAATTTGTTTATAATGATTTGCCTTTTTGAGCGGACTGCATTATGTCAGTGATATTCATTTAACAAGATTTATAGCCAATTAAAACATGTTCTGTCAAACAATACCTAAAATTATTCAAAGTGAAATACCAGTTCTCTGATTTTAAGCTTGTTTAATATAATCTGCGTGTACCAATTATAGCAGGACGGATACTACAAAATACGGCATCAATTAAATCCCGGACAACATCACAAACTGTGATTTATAGATCTAATCAGTTCTGATATCCCATAGGCTTTACTATTGTACTCTGAACTATACCTAGATTACTCTCTGATACCAAACAGTTCCCCTGTGGAATAAAGTGCTCAGTCTACATAAAGAATTACTTTTTCTAATTTCTGACAGACATAAATAGTCTGGATACCAATACTAGACGTCATGTCACTATCCATTGTGTTCTAATGTTGCTATAAATAAATCTGATAAAAAGCCAACGATTACCATAACAATATATATTTGTCAAAAGAATAAAAACATCAACAGCAACATATAATATATGTTCTTAAACATTCTCCCACTCCCAGACTATGGTACGGTTTTATACTTTTGAGATTTGATAATCGTTAACTTTACAGCGTTTAACATCTCGTGTTTACGATTTTGACGATCCTGTCGTAGACTGGTAGATGTTTCTCTACAGCCTTTATGGAACCATATGTACTATTAGATAAGAACAGAATATGTTAATGTGCAAAAGCATCTAGATAAATTCAGCTATAACGATCTGTAAAAGTTAACATCCATACTTAATGTTCCTATTTGTAATATCCTTTGCAAAAGTCCAAAATTCGAAAGAGAAATGATTGTTTTATCTTGTACATTATTAAACAGATATATTGTGAAATACAAATGTACATTTGAATAGTTATGTTTTTAATATAATTATGGCTTTGCAATATGAACATCAGTATGCACCGTTTACGAGTGACCTTTGCTGACACTAAATATTGGCTTAATGCATTCTTTTTCGACATTTGCGAACAGATTTCTCAGTTTCGTTTAACTGTCAACAGTAGCATTCCGAACATTAACTAGATTACTTAAAAAACCTGCATGCATTGCTTATTTGTCTCAAAGGTCTTTCGACATCCAACTATATCAATAAACATGTAATCAATACTCCGATTATTTTGCAAGATCTGCATCACACCGTCTAAGTGCAGTATCTATCTAATTTGAGTAATTCCTTTCATTTGCAAGAATCCAAAATTCAAAAGAGATTTTTATCTCTCCGGTTTTGTGAAGATTGTTCTACATAATAAATATATCCTAAAACGAAATTGTAAGGTTGATAAAAAAAGCCCTGTCAGACGTATCCAAAAATTCAAAACCTTAACTTTTCTCTCTAGATGTTTTTGCGGAGAACGTAATAATATTACATAATGAAGTTTTTCTAACATATAATGTCAAAAGCTGTTGCTTTATTGTGCCACAAGCAGAGTTAGTTGTTTTAACTTCCGTTATCTAAACGATAAACAGCGGAAGTGATAAAAAGAGAGGAAATTAGGTAGATGCAGGAGATATTGTGAATTATGTTCATAAATAAATAGGTAAATCTCTAAAGCTAAGTGTTATATTCATTGAACAAGACTTGTGTGATATTATCATAAAATAGCATAAAGAGCTTACCGGAAATATCTTGAGTTGTGAAATAAAAATCTAATATAATCAAAATCTAATTTAGGATTCTGTTCTATAAAATTACAGATATATTAAGATATACATATAATGTTTTCAATACAAATATGGCCGTGCAAGTAAAGATGAATATACAGCTTTTACGAGCAACCCTTG